GAGAGAGAGAGAGAGAGAGAGAGAGAGAGAGAAAGAGAGAGAGAGAGAGAGAGAGAGAGAGAGAGATTCCACTCTCCAGATATAAATTATATACCTCAAAGCATGCTCCCAGTGAACCACTTCCTCTAGCCACACCTCACCTGCCTCCAGTAACCACTCAATTAATCCCATCAGGGATTAATTCACTGATTACATTAAGGCTATAGCACAATCATTTCTCCTCTAAACCTTCTTGCATTATCTCACATATAAGCTTTTGGGAGACACCACATATAAAACTTAACACATATGTATACACACATATACATATAAGTTATTATATATAAGAATATTAACATCTTAAAAACTCCTTCTCATCAGTTTTTTCCCTACATGTTTCCGTTCAGTTACCCTACTTATTGCAATGATATATTTATCTCTTCCTACCAGGAATATTGGGCTCCAGGAAAATAAATGATGTGAATCTCTATCCGAGAACAAAGTACAAGGTTGTGTTCGACACAACGACACATTATCCCCCATTTTAAAAGCCCCTTCACCAACCAGCCTGAGAGTCAGAACCAGGAGAATATGCATTTACACCATTCAAAAATGTCCATGGACTGCTTTCTGTCCTTGTTCCCCATGGTTATCAGCTCCTGAACGACAGGTGATAAGACTTTGATATCAAGGGAAGAATCAAACACTGGACTTGGAACAGAATAGGTTCTACACCACTAATTCCTGGTGGATGTGGAATGCATTTACTTACCCAATTTTCTTCTATTATCCCAATGTTGTATTTGTCATCCCCACCTGGGTCAGCGTGTTGCTTCTGCTCAGCATAAAATTCCTGGAGCGCTGCTAAGGTGTGGGAGGAAAGCTGGGGGGTATCATCGTCTTCTGAGTCAGTCATTTCTCCAACTGTCTAAGACCTGCAGGTCAAGGAGTAAATGAATCATGCTGATTTTGTTTACCCTTTCCATCAAATAAAAAGTTTTAAGGTTCATGTTTCACTTACAGCAAGGACCTAAAGTGAAGTGAGTTTTATGGAGAAAACACCTACATTTAAAACTTCTGGAAACACCTGTGAGGGACTTCTTCTGAATTACTGTTCAACAAACGTAGGATTTTCCTAGAAATGTGTTCATTTTTTATAAAGGACATTGTGTTAGTCAGCTTTGCATTTGCTGTGACCAAAATACCTAACAAGAACAACTTAGAAGAGTGAAAAGTTTATTCTGGGCTCACGGGCTTGGTCCAGAGTCAGCCAGTCCCATGGTTTTGGGCTAGAGGTAAGGCAGAATGACATGGCAGAAGAACATGGCAAAAGAAAGCTGCTCAGATCATGGCAGCCAAGAAGGCGGGGCGGGGGGGGGGAGAGAGAGAGGTGTAAGAGAGAAGAGAGAAGAGAGAGAGGAGAGAGAGGAGAGAGAAGAGAGAGAGGAGAGAGAAGAGAGAGAGGAGAGAGAAGAGAGAGAGGAGAGACAAAATTAACCCCCAAGGACATGCCTCTAGGGACCCACTTCCTCTGGCCATGTCCACCTGCCCACAGTTATGACCAGTAGTCTATTTGAATTATAATCCATTGAACGGATTATACACTGAAGCGATTATAGCTCTCATAATCTAATAATTTCACTTGTGAATATTTCTGCATTGCCTAACACAAGAGCTCTTTGGGGGATTCCTCATATCCAAATCATAAGACATTTTCACATTTTTAAAAAATATTTTTTAGTTGTAGATGGACATGGTCCTTTATTTTTTTTAATTTATGTCTATGTGGTGCTGAGGATCGAACCCAGCGCCCCGCGCATGCCAGGCGAGCACATTACCACTTGAGCTACATCCCCAGCCCCCATAATGGAGTTTTATTCAGTCCTAAAGAAAAATAAATTATGTCATTTGTAGGAAAATGGATGGAACTTGATAACATTATGTTAAGCAAAATAAACCAAACTTAAAAGGTCAAGATTGTATGCTTTCTTTCATATGTAGAACCTAGAAAGGAAAAGAAAGATGGGGGGATCTCATGAAAATCAAAAGGAGATCAGTAGAATAGAGGAAAAGGATCAGGGGGAGGGAGGAGGAAAGGGAAAGGGGAAATACTGGGGAATGATATTATATTGTTAGACTGTGTGTATGTACAAATACATAACAATAAATCCCACCATTGTGTGTAAGTATAATGCACCAATTAGAAAGTGTGTGGGGGGGGCGGGAAGAAAGTGTTTTTTGTAAAAAATAACAGCCAAGTACAATGACTTGTTGGGGTTACTATCCAGAATCAGCCAAACTGAGATTAAGGCACTGGCCAAGTCTGTTGAGCCTCCTGATAAAAACTGCAATTTCAAGGGGTTCCCATCAACTTCCTGGCATTGAAGTGTGAGAATATGCATGGAAAACTGCCAACCCAGGAAGCTCAACTAAACTTCAATCTTCAGTTTTTATTGAGATTTTATTATAGGCATGATTTATGAAATGCCTGCCCACCTAGCTGGAGTCAGTCTCCAAATTTACTTCCCTCAAGTTTGAGCTCAGGATCCTACGCTGAATAACAAAGGTATTCCAAGTGTTTAGAGGTTGCTACCCATGACCCAAGACAAAGGCCAGACCTCTCTTTGAGTGGAGTCACATTCCTTACTAACACAGGAATCAAACACATTGCTAAACCAAGTTATCTAAGAGCAAAAGATAACATCCAATTTACTTTTTAAAATATTATGTCTAAGCTTCACAGAAAGTGATATGTTGAAAGTCAGCAAAGGGCTTCTACAGCAGAAAGGCCCACTGAAAGGCCTGTGTGCATGTCTGATTGACAGAGTCCAGGGCAAGTGCCTACGCCTGGACTGCAAGGGAGCTAGGAAAGGAGGACTCAGAATTGAGAAATTCCCAGATTTAGGAGAAGTGTTCAAAAGATGCTGAGCAGTTATTCAAGGTGAGAAATGTCTGCTAGATGTTGTTCCCCTAATCAAAATCAAAGAACTAGCTATTCCACATAAGATCCTAAAAACAACCAAAACCTTTTATCTACCAATACTGACAACCCAGCATGTTTTCATTAAGTACAGATGTTACCAAAGCTCTGTCCTTGTCCCCAATGCCAATCCAATAATGAGGACACAGTTTTGAGAAAAGGGAAAAAGAAGTTTTATTGCAAAGGAGAAGCACAGGAGACTCGGGTCCCAGAGGTAGGAGTCAAGCCACCAAGGGGAGAAGGGGGCTTTCAAAAGGTGATTCAAAGGCTATATTCCCTGTGTGCTGTCTGGAGTTGTGATTCAGTTGTTAATTCAGGACACTATCATTTCTGGAGATCTGGTGCCATTCCCAGTCTGAATTACTTGTTCCTGTGTGTGTGTGCTCAAGGACAGATAACCCTGCCTAGAATGGGGAATAAAGGTGATTCTGCTTTCCTTGAGATTAGGGAGGGGGAGAAATTAGGGAGGAGCAGGGAGAGAGGAAGAGAAAGAAGCATGTCTCTTTAAAAAATAAGTCTCAGTGGCAGGACAGCAAGGGCTATATAGTCAAAGAATAAAGTAGACCACAGTTATACAAAGAGCTTGTTAGTTCTTTCTTTCCTTCATTAAAGACCTACCATGTAAAAGATGGCTAATAAGCATCTAGCAGTACAAGTTAATCTAAAAATACAAACAAACCCTCTATGATCAAGGAGAGGACGGAACAAAATAAAAAACACACAAAATATGATTAATGTAAATTCAAAAATGAGTAAAACTAAACAATATTGCTTAAGGATGCATATAACCTTCTATTTATCAAAGATAGTAAATTTTGTTATAATAAAAAATCTCTCCAATATACCTTGTTCATGGATAGGCAGAACTAACATCATTAGTTCTGCCTATTACCAAAAGTTCTCTATAGGTTTAATGCAACGCCCATCAAAATCCCAACGGTATTTCTTGCAGAAATACAAAAAGCAATCATGAAATTCATCTGGAAAAATAGGAGACCCAGAATAGCAAAAGCAATCCTAAGCAGGAAGAGTGAAACAGGCAGTATAGTGATACCAGATTTTAAACTATACTACAGAGCAATAGTAACAAAAACAGCATGGTACAGGTACCAAAACAGGTGGGTAGACCAATGGTACAGAACAGAGGACACAGAAACCAATCCACAAAATTACATGCAATGGAGAAAGGATAGCATCTTCAACAAATGGTGCTGGGAGAACTGGAAATCCATATGAACAAAATGAAATTGAATCCCTGTCTCTCGCCATGCACAAAAGTTAACTCAAAATGGATTAAGGAGCTAGGGATCAAACCAGAAACTCCGCGTCTAATAGAAGAAAAAGTTGGCTCTAATCTCCACCTCATGGGGTTGGGCTCCAAATTTCTCAACAGGACACCCATAGCACAAGAGTTAAAATCAAGAATCAACAAATGTCACTTACTCAAACTAAAAAGTTTTTTTCTCAGCAAGAGAAACAATAAGAGAGGTAAATAGGGAGCCTACATCCTGGGAACAAATTTTTACTCCTCACACTTCAGATAGAGCCCTAATCTCCAGCGTATACAAAGAACTCAAAAAATTAAACAATAAGAAAACAAATAACCCAATCAACAAATGGGCCAAGGATCTGAACAGACACTTCTCAGAGGAGGACATACAATCAATCARYAAGTACATGAAAAAATGCTCACCATCTCTAKCWRTCAGAGAAATGCAAATTAAAACCACTCTAAGGTACCATCTCACCCCAATAAGAAAGGCAGCCATTATGAAGTCAAACAACAACAAGTGCTGGCGAGGATGTGGGGAAAAGGGTACACTTGTACATTGCTGATGGGACTGCAAATTGGTGCAGCCAATTTGGAAATCAGTAGGGAGATTCCTTGGAAAGCTGGGAATGGAACCACCATTCGACCCAGCTATTCCCCTTCTCGAACTATTCCCAAAAGACCTAAAAAGAGCATACTACAGGGATACAGCATCATCAATGTTCATAGCAGCACAATTCACAATAGCTAGAMTGTGGAACCAACCTAGATGCCCTTCAATAGATGAATGGATAAAAAAAATGTGGCATATAAATACAATGGAATATTACTCAACACTAAAAAATAACAAAACCATGGCATTTGCAGGGAAATGGATGGCATTAGAGCAGATTATGCTAAGTGAAGTCAGCCAATCCCTAAAAAACAAATGCCGAATGTCTTCTTTGATATAAGGCGGGCGACTCAAAACAGAGCAGGGAGGAAGAGCATGAGAAGAAGATTACCATCAAACAGAAACCGAGAGGTGGGAGGGAATGAGAGAGAGATGGGGAGCTGCACGATAGATGGAAGGATACCTGTATTGTTATACAAAAATACATATAAGAGGATGTGAGGCGAAGGGGAGAAAAAAATAAGAGAGAGAGAAATGAGTTACGGTAGATGGGGTAGAGGGAGGGGCAGGGAGGGGAGAGGAGGGCGGGGGGGGGGGGATAGGAAGGGGATAGGAAAGGCAGAATACAACAGACACTAGTATGGCAGTATGTATAAACGTGGCTGTATAATCAATGTGATCCTGCAATCTGTACACGTGGGAATAATAAGAATTCACACCCCATTTGAAACAAATGTATGATATATGATATGTCAAGATCAATGTAATGTTTTGAGCAACTAATAAATTTCTGATGTTTTAAAAAAAATAAGTTAAAAAAAAGATCTCTCCAAATAGAAAATTCCACTCTGAGCAGACTCACTGGTGAACTTTATCAAATATTTAAAGAGAAATGATGGTAATTTTATGGAAACTTTTCCAGAAAGCAAAGGAGAAAGGAATACTTCCCAACTTGTTTTATGAAACCAGCATAAAACTAATGTGAAAACTTGCCAACCATGATAAGAAAATAAAATTACAGATTAAATAAAGATTATAGGAGTTTTGAACTGAACTATATTAGGCCCCAATAGACCAAAATAAAAATGGAATCACTAATATTAAAGTTCTTGATAACCAAATCAAAACTAAAGTTGTCATCTAACCTTAGAGAAATTAGAAGAACAAAAGATAACAGCCAAGTTTTCTAAACAAGTCAGTTTTAATAGGCATGAATGAACTTTTAAAAAATTCATATAAAATAACATCGGTAAACTGATGTTAACCAGTTATTTTTCTATTGTTCTGTTTTCCCTATATCTGCCTTATAAGGAAAGTAATTTGAAATGACTAATCTTTTTTTTTTCTGCTTTCTTTAACCCTCCTTTGTCTATAAAACCTTCTTCCTCTGTTTGCCTCATTTGAACGCTTCTTCTATTTTATGGAATAAGGTGTTACCTGATTCTAAAGTCATAACTATAGTCAATTAAGATCTTAGGTTTTTTGTTGTTGTTGTTTGTTTGTTTTTTTGATACTAGGGATTAAACCCAGGGTACTTTATCACTAAACTACATCTCCAGCCCTTTTGATTTTTTTTTTTTTTTTTATTTTGAGACAGGGTCTCACTAAGTTGCTGAGGGCCTGTCTAAGTGGTCTGGCTTTAAACTTGCAATCCTCCTGCCTCAGCCTCCTAAGCCACAGGCATATACACAGCACCTGGCTCAAGATCTTTAAACTAAATTGATTGTAATTTTATCCTTCGGCAAGATCAATATTCCATATGACTACAGAAGCAAAAATTTGTTATACTATATAGTAACAAATTGATTTCAACAACATATAAAATTGATGATACATGGCTTATCTTAGGAATACAAGGATGGTTTAAGTTGAAAATATTTACTATCTGGGCCTTTACAGAAGTTTGCTGACCCCTGGTTAAGCCAGGTATGGTGATGCACACCTCCAGCTCTGCAGAACGCTGAGGCAGGAAGATCACGAGTTGAATGCCGGCCTAGGCAACTTAGCGAGACCTCATATCAAAATAAAAATTAAAAGGGTTGAGTATGTAACTTAGTGGTAGAGTACCCCTGGGTTCAATCCCCAATACCACAAAAAATAAATGAGTCAATAAATAAATGAGAGAGAAAAGCCTATTCACACAGATAGTGCAAAAGTATTTAACAAAATTCAGCATCTACCCATGTTAAAAACTGAGCAAACTAGGTAGAAAAGGGAACTGCCTCAATCTGAAAAAGGGCATCTACAAAAAAACCCAGAAAATTGCCATTACACTTAATTTAACTCTGTCAAAGTATTTCTACACAATGGGAGAAAGCATGAGACTGGAAAGAAAAAATTGTCCCTGGTCACATAATTAAAGTTTTATTTATGTACATGTGAAACAAATCATGGCATCTAAACCATTTATCAATATTTTGTCTAGCTTAATACAGGAAACATTGTTTCAAGTATAAACAGATTAAAAAAAGTTAATCAGAATAATGGCAAATTTCACAGACAAACTACTGAGGAAACCCTGCCCTCATCCAGGTGATCTAGGTCAACACCAGTGGGGTGTCACGTTGATGATATATACCCTGTATGTTGGGATAAGAATGGTACCTCACTCCATATTCTTCCTCCTGAAAAGCCTAGTTAAGAGACATTTTCAAAATATATGACCAGTACTCACTGTGAGGTCCCTGTTATGGCCTGAGTCATTGTTATGTTTGTCCCTCAAAGGCTCACGTGTCCGGGGCTTGATCCTCGGTGCCGTGATGTTCAGAGGTAGAGCTTTGAAGTGATTGGATGACGAGGACTCCAACACCTCATCTATGAATCCACTGATGGATCTGTAGCTGAATGGACTACTGGGAGACGAGAAACCATGAGCCAGAACCTAGTTGAAAAGAGCAGGTCCTTGGGCTGTGCTACTGGGGCCTGTATCTTGTCCTTGACACTTTTCTCTTTCTCTGCTTCCTAACTGCCATGAGTTGAGCAGTTGTGCTCACCATGAGATACAGCAATGGGGCCAATATGGACTGAAACATCTAAAACCATCAGCCAAAACACATCTTTTCTCCTTTAAGTAGTTTTTCTCAGGTATTTCATCATAACAACAAAAAGCTGGCTAACATAATCATCAAAAACACAGACAGCCAGGCACAATGGCACATGCCCACAGTCCCAACTACCTGGGAGGCTGAGGTAGGAGGAGCACCTGAACTAAGGAGTGCTAAAATTTAACTGTTCATCCATTGAAAAATATTGGGACTATGTCCAGTATTTGGCTACTATAAATAGAGCTGGTAAGATGAACATGTATACTGTTTTTAATTTTTTCTGAATTAATACAAGTAAATAAAAATAATGACACTATATTAATACTTAATGACAATACTGGAAATTAATAAAGTAAATAATTAAATAAAAATAAAGGCAATACTGATGAGAATGTAATGATGGTATACTTTTTAATCTGGGTAACAATTTAGATTGGCATTATCTTTTGAAAATGAACTTGACAATTGAAAAAAATTCCTACTTTCTTACCCAATTTTCATTCATAAGCCTTCTATTTTATAATAAGAATAGATTCACAGAAAGTTGCAAAAATTCTATAGAGAGATCTCATGTACACTTCACCAAATCTTCCCCAATGTTAACAATTTACATAACTATAGTGAAATGTCAGAACCAGGAAACTCATGTTGATACAACCCATAGGATTCATTGAATTCACAAATTTCACATGCACTCAATTGTCTCTGAGTATAGCTCTATATAATGCTAATGTGTGTAGAGTCGTGAAACCACAATTATAGAGATAATACAGAATGTACCAACTCTACAGAGATTAGTTGATGAACCCTTCAGAGCCATATCTACCTTCCCTTGCCTCAACCTCCATTCCTAACTGCTTTGAAGCACCAACCTCTTCTTTTTTTGAGTGTTTTCTATTTTATTAAGAGTATGTTTATGCATATACAGATGTATATTAAGCAGTTATCTTAGTTTTTTATTTCTTTATCATAGAATATAACATTTATTGACTTAATTTAAGTACTTCAGTGTTATTAAATCTGCATCATAGTAGTCATGGGATATCAGAAGAGTAAGCACTGTTCACCCAAAACAAAGGAGGGTGGGAAGAGTAAGAATAGAAATCCACTGGATCAGACAAAGTGGAAACAAGGGAAGGGACGGGGAGGGGAATAGGAAAGACAGTAGAATTAATCAGTCATAGCTTTCCTGGCCTTGTATTTGAATACACAACCAGGTAACTCCACTTCATGTACAACCACAAAAGTGGGATCCTAAATAGAATCGGTTATGCTCCATGTATGTATAATTGCCAAAATACACTCTGCTGTCATGTATAACTAAAAAGAACCAAGAAAAAACTCCCACAACTCTGCCTCCTATTCTGGAGCTGGAATTAGAGCACTTTTAGTTGTAGGCAGAATAGTTACATTGTTAGGCAGAGTTAAAACCTTGTCATTATGTTTATTTGGAGATTATGGTTTAAGGAGATGTGACTGGACATCAAGTCAACAAGGGGGTGGGACTTGTGATGGTGAATCTTCATTGTCAACATGGTTGGATTGAGAGACGGTTAGGAAATGAGTAAAGTGCACTTCAGGGTATGTCTGTGAGGATGTTTCCAGAGACCACTGGCGTGTGGGACCGCATACTGAGATGGGGACTAGCAACCTCCCTGAATGTAGAGACCAAAGTAGAAGGAGGAGGAAGCCCATCAGCATGTATGCAGACTAGATTGTTCCTGAGAGGGTCCATCCATTTGCACTGCCATTGCCCATGGACATCAGATTCCCATCTTCTTCAACCTTTCCATATGGATTCACACAGTAACTCTCCAATGAAGGCTTCCAGGCCTTCAGCTTCAGGTTGGGGTAGCATCATGGATCCCTCTTGTTCTGAGGTTCCTGCATCTTGGAGTGAGCAGCTCTCCATCTGGCCTGTAGATGGATATTGGTGGGACTATCCAGCTTTCTATTATGTAAGCCAATCTAATAAATCCCCTCTTTTTCTCCCATATTTTTATCGGTGTATAATAGTTGTACATAAGGATGGGATTCATTGTTACATGTTTATACATGCACACCATATAACAATACGATTTGGATAATTCTCTCCTTGTATGTATGTATTCTATTGCTTCTTTTCCTCTAGACAACCCTGACTAACACAGACCCCACAATAACGAACTGGGTCTGTAAGAGAGGAATAAGGGGAATATCATTCCTTTCAGGCTGTTCTGACAAACTACTATAAACTGGGTAGCTTATGAACAACAAAAATTTATTTCTTGAAATCTGTAGGCTGGAGGTCCAAGGTCAGAGGGGCCAGCATGACTGTTTCTGGCGAGGGCCGACTTCTCATGGTATCCTCATGAAGGAGGTAGACAAAGAGCAGGATTCCCGTTCGTGAAGGCTCCACCTCCAAACGTCATCACAGAGAGGGTTAGGATTCTACTATATGAACTTGGGAGGAGTTAAACCTTCCGACCTAACAGGGAACTGGGATGGGAACTAGAAAACCCCCCTCATTCAGGTACCCCGAGCCCTCTGCCCTGTGAACTCTTCCTGGACCTTCCTGCGTTTAGACAGCCAACTTGTTAAAGCGGCTCCAGGGAGGCAATTGTGACTGAGATTCCCACATTCAGCCTTGGGAGCCTATTGTGTCAATTTGTTCTAACTGCAGTGCACACATCGTTGTCTGAGTGGAGCACAACTTCTCACTCTTGAGCTGCGGAGGGCCAGCATTTTAAGCTACAAATAGTTATTCATAATAGGCTGGCAGACATGTTCAGATTAAGCTAAGTATCAAACTCTGGAATTATGACAGTGGAGCCATCAGCATCTGGATCATCACTGCGCTTGCCTTGTCTTCTGGCTGGGAAGGCCCCAGAGCAAGAACTGTCCTTAGGGGCTGGTGGCCTGAGCTGTTCCCCATGGCAGGCATCTCCTTATCCATTTTCCACCAGAGACAATATCCAATCCTCTTCCTCTTGGGCACCTCTAGGGTCGGGCAGCTCATCACCATCCAAGGCAGAATGCATCTTCTCTGGGCAATTCTTCTTGTCAGAAGATATTTTAGGTTACTTAACCCAACCTGCCATCTCAGTGTGCTGGCTTTTAATTATGTCAGCAGCATGTAATCATGTAGTCACTCAGCAAACCTTCCAGTTGTCTAGTGGGTGCCAGACCCTTTGCTCAAAGCCAAGGATCCAGAGGAGAAGGAAGCATGACCCCTGTTTGTTTTAGAAACCAGGAAGTCCAAAATCAGGGTACAGAAGTGGTGGGGTTCTGGAAAAGGCTTTCTTCCTGGCTGGTGATAGAGTCTTCTTGCTGTGTCCTCATATGGCAGAGAAGGAGGGGGAAAGAAAGAGGGAGGGGGAAGGAGACAGAGAAAGAGAGCACCAATCTGTTCTTTATTTCAGTAATTTTGTCAGTTTAAGAGTTTTATGTAATTGAAATCACACATTATGTAACCTGAGACTGGCTTTTTTTTTTTTTTTTCATTCAGCACAGTTTAAAATGCATCCAACTTATTTTGTTTATCTACAGTCCATTCCTTTTTATGGCTGAGTGATAATCCATAGTATGGCCACGCTTCATTAACCGTTCACCTACTAAAACACACTAAGGTTGTTGACAATTCTGGAGCTTGCTGTCAACAGTTGTGTACAGCAGATTTTTGTGTGGACATAAAATTTCCCTCCCTGCTCCTGTCAGTAGCCCTGAAGACAGCCGAGGACACTGGTCCCTTGTCTTCTTGGTAGCTATACTGATTAAGTTCCTTTCCTACCTTCACTGCTCAACTCTTTGATTAGTATCTTGGAATAAGTGGTAGAATCTAGTTTGTGGGGCCCCCTGGAGCATGCAATTCATTTAAAGCATGCAGTTCATTACTTTTAATGTATTCAGAGTTAATTAGAAATTGAAATTTTAAAGATTTCCWTGTACAATAGAATAAAAATATGAAGTATTTAAACATAAAGGTGGCAAAAACTAAAATGTATATGTTAAAAACTATAAAATATTGATGATAGAAATTAAAGAGAACCTAAATGGAGAGATATACCTAATTTATGAGTCAATTTTAGAACATTTTTACCATTCCTCAAAGAAACCCTCATATCCCTCAGCAGTGGATTCCTGTTTCCCCACCTGTATCAGCCCTAGGCAACCAAATGAATTGTACTTTAAATTTCTGTTTCAGTGTTAAATGTATAACAGTTAACATATATAAAAATATTACTGATTTTTATGTTTTGTAACCATAATGAATTCACTTATTTTATTAATTCTGTGAGTTTCTTCTTAGATTCCTTGGAATTTTAAACTTAGAAAACCATATCTGTTTACTGTCTGTCTCTATACATTTGGTTATTCTGCACATAACAATATTCTATATACAAATAAAATGACACAATATGTGGTCTTTTGTGAATGGTTCCATGTTTACTTTTCTTTTAAAAAAATGTAAAATTTTTTTCTTGAGCGTTTGTGTCATTTTACCCACCTCCAGCAATGTATGAGAGATCAATCCTTCCCAGCCCCTGAACAAGTGCTGGGCCTTGCACAAGCTAATCACACTGAGAGATCCAGTTTCTTTATATCTTCACCAGGTTTTGGTATTTATTTGAGCAGTTTTAATAGGTCTGTAGTACTTACTACCTTATGGTAGCTTTAATTTGCATTTCCTGAATACTTAACAACTTTGAACATTTTCATATGTACATTTTTCATCCATTTTACTCTTGGTGAAATATCTGTTCACATCTTCTGTCATAAACTAACTGGATTGTTTGAGCCTTTATATTGTTGAATTTTTTTTTAAA